AGCGTGGGGCGGCAGGCAGCCGGTCCATGAGGGGAGCTCATTTTTAAATTGGCTCCCCTGGCGGACCAGCTTCCACCTAGCACCCAGCGCTTCTGCCTCTATATCAGAGGCAGCAGCGTGGGGCGGCAGGCAGCCGGTCCATGAGGGGAGCTCATTTTTAAATTGGCTCCCCTGGCGGACTAGCTTCCACCTAGCACCCAGCGCTTCTGCCTCTATATCAGAGGCAGCAGCGTGAAGTTACAGGGATGGGGTCCAGAGCACACTGGCTGCCAGCCACACCTCCAGGGACTATAGAATAATTGACTGTTAACCTCATGAACTGATGAATTCTTTAATCGACTATTCAATTAACTGATATTTAATATCCCTATTCTCCAGCTGCCTGCACCTGGGTCCCGTCACAAAGAGCAGACAGTGGTGACTGGGAAACATTTCCATCGTATGCTGCTGTGGGCACCCATCCCTGACACTCCAGGGACACTGGCACACTTGGCCGGTCCCATTTCTGTGCTGACGTGTGTGGGCCATCTCGGGAGCCTGCCAAGCCTGCCCCGTCAGAGACCCCAAACCCTGAGCTGCTAGTCTGGCCTGCAGAGACAGGGTGACTCCAGGGGTGTCCCAGTTCAGGCGCTTGCTCGGGCCATAAGGGCTGTATTCTGCTCTTCGGTCTTTATGCAGAGCAATGGTAGGAGAGCTGCCATGGACAAACAGTACAGAGGCACGGTGGGGGTCGACTTTGGTTGGTGAGAGACAAGCTTTTGATCCTATACAGTGCTCTTCTGGTGTCTGTAGTGCTGGGTAAGTTCCGAACCTTGTCTCTCCTCAACAGAAATTGGTTCAATAAAAGGTACTACCTCGCCCACCTTGGCTGCCTTATATTCTGAGATAGACACAACCACAATAAGGCTGTCCGCGAGGAGGTAATGTAGTGGGATGAATCAGATTTTGTAGCTCTTGCTCACAGTCCATAATTAAAAGTACTAAGAATGTTGACATCCTCCTGTTACTTCCATCCCTTCGAACTGTTGCTGGCTGATCATGGGCGAGATTGCTGGGTTTTCTGATTGTTGCCTTTTACTCTGAACCATCAGGTGATTCCCCCAAAGGAATGGAAGCCGCGAACATGCTATGATGATATTGATGACCTGGTCATCCCAGCTCCAATTCAGCAGGTCGTGACTGGACAATCTGGCCTCTTCACACAGTACAACATCCAGAAGAAGGCTATGACTGTCCGGGAATTTAGAAGAATTGCAAATAGTGACAAGTAAGAAACTGCAAACACAAATTCTTTTACAACTCTGGGGCTTTTGCCATCACACAGCTTTCTCTCTTCTTAGCCTATAATTATATGGACTTTCTTGGGAAAAGATGTGTCGTTTAATGAAATTGTCAACAACAAAACTTTCTTTAAAATGAAAGTGCAGAAATGGCATATTAATGAACAAACCTGCCCTGCTGGGCTTCACTTCTGTTAGTCCTGAAGACAGTGGAATTGCTCAAGTGTTGATGGGAGCACAACTTGTTCCAGAGAATCCTTTATTACATAAGAACGGGCATGCTGGGTGAGACCAGTGGGCCGGTATCCTGACTCTTGACTTTGGTCAATGCCAAATTTTTTAATTTTTTTTAAGCCAGTTATGCTTTTGGCTTTCATGGTATCACCTAACAACAAGTTCCAGAGGTTGACTGGAGAAGAAGTAATTGCTTATGATCAGGGCTCGACAAACTATAGAATCTACTCGCCCATGGCGAGTAGATTTCAGCCGTGCGGTCTGTTTACCAGCGGCGTACGCATGCGCGATGTGGCTCTTGTGTATGCGCAGTGCAGGGCTGGCGAGTGGCTTTCACCGCCGTTTGTCAAGCCCTGCTTATGATTACTAGGCAGCAGGTTTCAGACTATTTCATTGAGTGACCTCTGGTTTTTGTGTCATGTGAAGGGGTAAATAACAATTAACTTTCTTCACACAAGTCATGCTTTTATAGATCTATTAAATCCCCCTGCAGTCATTCTTTTTTAAGATGAGCAGTTTCAGTCTTTTTAAGGCGTGCCGTACACCTAATAATTTCAGTTGCCTTTTGTGTACTTTTTCCAATTTTAATCTATCTTTGAGATGGGGTACCCAGCACTGCACGTGGTATTCAAGAGGTGGGCATGCCGTGGGTTTATATAGTGGCACGTGCTCTGTTTTGCTTGTCTCCTTACTGTGACTGCCAGTGTACTTTGAGCAGATGATTTCAGAACAACAGTGACTCCAAGATCTTTAAGTGGTAACAGCTGCTTTATTTCTCCTTCATTTTGTTCCTGTCGTTGGGATTGTTTTCCCTTGCCTGTTACTTTGCCCTTATCACCTTTGACTTTCGTCTTGTCTTGCTGCCCAGTTACCCACATTTGTAGAGTCCCTTGGTAACTGTCTGCAGCCTGCTTTCAGTTAAACTGTCTTGACTGATTTTTGTATTGCCTGCAAACTTTGCCACCTCATTGCTTACCGGAGCCTTTTCCAGATCATTCCTGAATATGCGGAAGAGCACACATTCGTGGGGGTCCTGCTGTTTACCTCTCTCCGTTCTGAAAACTGCACCTTTTTCCTACTCCCTGTTCCCTATCTTTTTTAACCAGTTATTCATCCATGGAAGGGCCTACCCCTTTGCTCCATGACTGTTGAGTTTGCTCACAAACCTTTGAGGTGGGACCTTATAAGAGGAGTAGATTTTCAGAAAGCCTTTGACACCTCCTGGTCACCCTTGTCCACGTGTTTGTTGTCTCCACGCCCCACCCATCCCCAAATAATTCAAATAGATTGGTGAGGCATGATTTCCCTTCACAAACTCTGTTGACTCTTCTTTGACATACAGCCTCTCCCCGAGTTACAAACGAGATACGGACCAAACACTTGGCTGTAACTCGACCGTTTGCAACTCGGGGAGCGGCTGTATTGCATTCATTTATGTATTTGATTATTCTGTCCTTTGGTGTGATTTCTACTCATTTTTCCCAGTACTGAAGTTAGGCTCAGTGGTCTATAACTTCCAGAATCACATCTGGGCCTTTTTAAAAAAAATCATAATTACATTAGCTCGCCAGTAGTCATCTGGCACAGAAGCTGTTTTAAGTAATAGGATACATACCACAGTCAGTAGTTCTGCAATTTCATATATGAGTTTCTTCAGTGACTGCCATCTGGTCCTGGTAACTTCTTACTGTTTCATTTATCAGTTCCAAAACCTTCTCTGATAATCCTTCAGTCCAGGACAGGTCCTCAGAGTTCATACCTAAAAGAATGACTTGGGTCTGAGCATCTGCTCACGTCCTCTTCAGTGAAGACCGGAGCAGAAGATTCACGTAGTTTTTCCACAACTGCCTTATCTGTCTTGAGTGCTGCTATAACACCATGATTGTCCAGTGGTCTCAGTTTGACAGGCTTCCTGCTTCCAGTGCACTTTCTTTTTTTTCCTGTTAGTCTTTGTATCTTTTAACCTAAGAACGGCCGTACTGAGTCAGACCAAAGGTCCATCCTGCCCAGTAGCCTGTCTGCCGACAGTGGCCAAAGTCAGGTGCTTCAGAAGTAATCAATAGAACAGCTAATCTGAAAGTGATCCATCCCCTATCCCAGTTTCTGGCAAACATAGGGGAGGGACACCATCCCTGCCCACCCCGGTTAGAAGCCATTGATGGGCCTGTTCTCTGTGAATGTGTCTAGTTCTTTTTTGTTAGTTGCTCTTCGCGTTCTTTTTTGACCTGCCCAATTGTATTCCAGAGTTCATGCTCCTGTCTGCTTTCTTCAGTAGGATTGGATTTCCAGATTTGAAAGGGTGCTCTTTTGCCTGTAACTGCCTGTTTGTCTCTGCTTAGGCATGGTGACTTTTTTTGATCCTGTTTTTTTTAAACTGATGGAAAACAAGGAAAAGATGCATGTTCCCCTGTAGGCTCTACATAGAGTTTAAGGCCAGAAGAGACCACCAAATCATTGAGTATGATACCAGGCCCCCCCCCCCCAGCCCTTGCTCGCTGAGCCCAACAACCTTTCTTTCGTGATTAACTGACCTCGCATTATTGAAGGACCACAAATTTGGAGCACAACAATGCTCTTGTTATTGTCACTAAGCATAACACTGGGTTCTTAGCCAGTTTGTTGCAGTGTTTGAAACCCCAAATGTTGCTTTCCTACACTAGTTCCTGAGACCCAGAAAGTGAAATTCTTACTCGTTTCCGTTGTTCTAGCTGAGAGACGTGAGAAGGAAACTAGACTTGCATGTTACCGCATGTTACCGCTTCTTTACGAAATAAGTGTGATTGTTAGTGAGCTAACTTTTTAAAAAGATGTTCTCCCAATAAGGCATGGCTTGAGGATTTAAGAGAACTAATTAAATGCTCATTACCCCATTTTGTACAGTGCAGGTTGTTTCTTCCAACAACAGAAGGGTAATGTGCTGTGGGAGTTAGAATGGGTATTAGTATTTCAGTAGCACTTAGACCCCTGCTAAGTTAGGATTCCCATCTTGCCAGACCCTGTACAAAGAGCGGCTAAGGAAACACTGGCACAGAAGTGAAATCACTTGCCCACTGTCACCCAGCAGGTTTTGGCAGAGTGAGAAATAGAGCCTGGGTCTCTGGACTTCCAGTCTGATGCCCTATTCTTAACAGTTTGAATATAGCCTTCTACTTGCTTTGTTTTAATTCTGGGATATTGCTCTAACTCTAATGTACTGAGTTGCAAAGTTTTTACTGATGAAATGAGTTGATGAAATGGCTTTTTTTTTTTTTTTTAAGGTACTGCACACCCCGATATACTGACTTTGAGGATCTTGAGCGGAAATACTGGAAGAACCTCACTTTCAATGCCCCTATCTATGGTGCTGATGTTAATGGCACACTCTATGAGAAGGTGAAGGAAAATGCTTTGTCTTCTGGTAGAAAAACCCTATCGAGTTGCAGATGACTATTCATGTAAACTCTGTCCTGGCATTCAGCTCTGTGAAGTTTCGGAGAGGTGTTTAATGGCATTCGCAGTAGATGTCTGTCTTCTGAAATATAAAACCTGGGAGGTGCAGTCAGCTGTACCACTAACATATATCTGTCATTTTACCACAATTGTTGAAGCTAAGTGTAAGACACATCCTCAAGAGTATCTGTGTTTATCTAGTACATTGTGCTTCATTGTGACGCAATTGGAAACTCCTAGGAGCCAAAATTAATTCATTAATATAAGGCGAGGTAATGCACAAAGCTTGCTTAATAGTGCTAATGTACTTACAGATACAAATTACCCTGAATTGGAAACTAGCAGGGGACATATACTGTGTATCCCGCTGCTGTACACAGTTCTGTGGGGATCGTGATGGTGATGTGACTTGCCCACATAGCTGTGTCATGCAGATAGTTATTGGAACTGAGTGCATAATAGCGCAGTCACATTGCGTCCCTGAGAGTTTGTTAGACTGGAATAGTAGCTTTCAACTTCTGGTCTGTGGGGCTTGGTGAGTCCGCAGGCTAAGATTTCCAGAGCGGTGCTCACCTGCACTCAGAAATGTTCAGGGGTTTGCAAATGAAAAAACGTTGAAAATGGCTGAGTTACAGTATTCCAGCCCTGCAGCAGGGGCTTGGAAGGAAACACAGTGATAGGAAGGAAACATGGCCGACTTGGATGCGGAAGTCCTCTCCCCATTAGACAGGACCAGTATAGTGGGTGATGGTACGTGCTTACTACACGGTCCTGTTAGCGTGTCCCTAGAAGCGAGGAGATTTGGGACTCTTGCCACACACGCACATCTTTAATTTCTGGCCTGCGTGCTGAGGCGTTAGCAAGGGGTGTCATTAGTAGTTGAGCGTAGACCGATGCAAAATGAGACTTGTATTTAAAAAAGAAGGAGAAAGTCCACTGGTTAGGTGAAGACTTTGGATTGCTCAGCAAAACTGAAAACCAGGTTGCTCTGTCCCACAGTGCAGCGTTATGTAGGGGCCATTGTTACGTAACTGATGTCTTGCGATCATGTTGCTGTCCTTGCTTAATATGCGCTCCCTGTTTTGCAGCATGTACATGAATGGAACATTGGCAAGTTGAACACAATCCTGGACGTTGTGGAGAATGAAAGTGGCATAACCATCGAGGGAGTGAACACCCCCTACCTCTACTTTGGCATGTGGAAAACCTCCTTTGCCTGGCACACGGAGGACATGGACCTCTATAGTATTAACTACTTGCACTTTGGAGAGCCCAAGTCATGGTAAGGTTTCCTGGAGCAGCCTCTCCGACTCACTCGCTAGAAAGCACCGTAAGCTGTTGGAGTCCCTTTAGAAACGTGGACAAACGGGATTGAGGAGATGGTGGGTTTTTCCTACGTCTTCTAAAGCTCCTCCTTTACTCCTGGGGGATTCTGCGCCGCTGCGTGAGTGCAGAATTCATGTCTCGCACAGATTTCTTTGCTTCCCTAAAGAAAATGACGTATGACTGGGAAGCCAAGGGAAGCGGAAAGAGCAGTCCATTGCCCCCCACCCTCAGCCGTGGGGGAATGTTGTTTCATGCACCCAGAGCAGCTGGTGGAGTCGTAAATCACTGCTCGGGGATGCAGAGCTGGGCACACCCTGACCAGTGGCCCCTACTCTGCGCCATGCTCAGCTGCTGGTTCTGGCTTGGGTGAGGACAGGGGATGTGAGGACTGCCTCTTTCTCAGACCCACCCCCAAAAGCTTCCTGAAGCCAGGAGAGGCATGTACCTTCTTGCCCCTATTGCTCCTCCACAGAGGGAGAGGGGTCACTGTACAGGGTGCTGCTCTCCTGTCTGCCCAACCCCTGTGCATCCCGACCAACCATACCAAGACCCTTTTCGCCAAGCCTTCCTCCTGCATCTGAGCCCCTCTGCACCCAGAAACCCTGTGGAGCCCTGCTCCTCCCTTGCATTCAGACCCCTGCTTAGTGCCCTGTGCTTGAATTCCGCACCCCTGCGGACCCCAGCCAGCTGCACCCAGAGTCCTGTCCCACCAAGCCCCTCCCCCAGCATCCAGACTCACTCTGCCAAGTCCCAACCACCATCACCTGCACCCTCCTGTTGAGTCCAGATCACACACCGAGCCTCTGTGCATTCAGATTGCCCCATACAGAATCCTGTTACCCCACCCCTGGATGCCCCACACTAAGCCCCTCCACGCTTAAATCCTGCTAGGAGGAGCCTGCTCATTCCACACCTGGATCAGAGGTGGGCATGCGTGTGACTCTGTATCGCTCGCTTGCTGCCTTAGCACGCCTGGCATGGAGGAGGAGGTAGCCCCAGTAGTGTGGAAACAAAAGGACGAGAGTTGTTGAGCTCCGTTAGACTAGAGTTAATTGTGTTGGCACCTTAGAATTTGGTTGCAGTTGGCTGTTGGGTGAACCGATAATGGTGGAAGTTCATGCTACTTAGAGCTACTGTTTGAGCCTGGGGCAATTAGCTACGGCAGCTAGAAGAGTCAGAAACTGTTGGGAGGGAAAAATAAAGTGTCGAGCATGTGAAAGGAATATGCAGGGAGACCCCCAGATCCTTAAAGTGCAACGCTTGTGCCAGTGCCCAGGAGTCGCCTCGTAACACCTTCCATACTAGTGCCCTGTTCTCTGACATAGGTCAGACTTCTCTCTCCGTGCTGTCACTTCAAGCGCATCCCAGGCCTTTGCCTGCACAAGCAAGAGACTTACTGCTGTGGTGCAGGTGACCGAGGGTGGGGCTGTTTTAGGTAGAACACAGTAGCAACGTGTGCTTGATACAAGTGGTAGTTTGACTGGCTGCTGTGACGAGACGGAGGAATGAAATAAAGCTAAGCCTGATGGACAGACAGTTAAACGGGTCCACGCACTGTAATCCTCAACAGTGAGGGCATTTTTAAGGGTGGCTGATCTGAATGCTTTTCTTCTGCACTCGTACATTTCCAGTGTCTGGCAGTGAGACGCCCTTCCCGGTAGGAATTGCTTTTTCAGCAAGGGGCTCGGGCCGGACGGGGAGCACTCTCTGGCAGGCATGCTTTGTCTGCCTTAGAAATGATGGAGTCCTTGGGGTCGCAGTTGGGTATTTTTGTTATGCAGACACACAGCACTGGAGCTGGATGTGTTCCAGGAGAGGCACCTAACTCGGTCACTATAGCAGAGGTGGACTGAAGCGTTACCCGCCCTCTGTTCAGTCTGAGTCCAGGTGGGACATTGACTTTTCCAATGGGGAGAGCAGGCTGTGCAGGGAGGTCTTCCGGGAGACTCATGGGCTCCCTTGTATGACCCATGGTTCAAACAATGTTCTCTCCCAGCAATCTGCCTGCGCCTAACAGGAGGCCACCTGCCATTTTCCAACTGGCTGGAAAGCAGTGGTTTGAGTTCCCAGGCTGTGGAAGAGGCAGAAGCAGATGGAGTTTTCCTTATGTGAGATAATCAAATCAGTACTTTACCACGGGGCTGCCATTGAGCCTGGAATTCCCTTGTCTGTCCTTAGAGACAACGGAGTGAGTTAGTAGAGGTCGGTGGGTTAATGGGTGACCTACATCTTGCCGACTGTTCTGTCTTTGAAGATATAAGTGGACTTTTTTTTTTTTAAAAAGAACCAAACCCTTTCTTGTCCCCGTTTTTTACTGGTTTGCTCTTGTGACTGCAGGTATTCCGTCCCTCCAGAGCATGGGAAGCGCCTGGAACGGCTTGCCAAAGGTAATCATTCAAGTCTTCTCCGCCCCGAGCCTACGTCTGCCTCTTGCAATTAGGCTTCAGGTCCCAGACAGACTGTAACGTGCTAACTGTATTCATGCGGGTGTTGGTTTTCTGTGTGTGTGTAGTTCTGTTTGTGGTGATGCAGTTGTTTTCATAACTCCTCGCTTGATCAGGTGGGTTATTGTGTGTATATACTCCCACACATGGTGGGGGGACCTTGGTGAGCATAGCAAGCGGGGGCAATGCCCCTTAGTTCTATAAATTAAAACTAAGGCTGTAAAAACTGTGCTCACTCTACTATTTCTGTTGAAGTTTTGGCCCTTAGTTTAGCTTGGACTGTGGAATTAGACTGGCTAATCGTGCATTCTGCCTAATGCGCAACCATGCTATTGCTTATTGGTTTTAATTCAAAATGATCATGAGCTGACTTTATTGCCTCACTCAATTTCAGCACATTCTCATGTTGGTTTGGTTGAAAAGGCTGCATTTTGAACATAGACTGCTTGGTTGCCATGTAATAAAAACCTACTAACTTTCCAAGTTAGGAAGTTACCCATGCTGTCACTTGCGTTTGTTTAAAAGGCAAGACAAGAATATACAAATGAACCTTGACCTTTTGATAACGGGTTCTGTTGACTTGGGAAAGTGACTGCCTCCATCCCAAGATTGGCTAGAGGGCCCCTTTGAGGCCTGCAGCTGTGTCTGCGTAGGTCCCCAGTCTGATTTCTGACTCTCTTCCTTGCCTAATAGAGGTTAGTACAATCCAGAATGAAATACACCTGTGCTAGGCCAGAGGCAGGGTATGCTGTGTGTGCAGTAACTTGCCTACCGAGCACTGGTTAACTAACCTCTTCTCTCTCAACTGCAGCAGCTGAGCATTCAGTGTCTCTCCATACTCCTCTTTACACAGGCTTCTTTCCAGGAAGTGCCCAGAGCTGTGAAGCTTTTCTTCGTCACAAGATGACCCTAATTTCTCCATCGATATTGAAGAAATATGGAATCCCATTTGACAAGGTGAAGGGAGAAGGCCGCGGTGCTCCTCAGTACACAGGTTCCCAGAATGCTGCGGGGTGGCGAGGGGGGATTTCTGAAGAGGGTAGGGTTTGTTTGGTTTTAAGCTAATCTGCAGGAGAAAAAATTTCGATTGTAAATTCTTATGACGCACACATGGCCAGGGTTTCTGTTCTGGAACTACGCACTCTGACCTGAATCTTCTGTGGTCTTGGTGTCTGGCCTTGTCTGCATGGTCAGGTGAATCGCCGAGGGCATGTGTTTCTGCTGTACAGTTAATACGGTGATATTTGGAGACTAGTTTTGGACTGTAGTTCATTGCACTGGCGTAGGGCATGAATATCTTTGCTTGTCTGAATAGTACTAGATATGTAGCCATGTTAGTCTGGTCTAGCTGAAACAAAAAACATTTGATCTGAGGAAGTGGGTCTGGCCCACGAAAGCGCCTCACCTAATAAACCATCTTGTTAGTCTTTAACTTGCTACATAGTCCTGTTTTTTGTTTTTGCTTGTCTGGCTACTATAGCTTGAAATAAACATTCAAAGTCATTGAGCAACTTTATCAGCTACTGCTGAGTTACTTTCCAGCATGGTGAGGAAGCGGTGACAGTTCTTGCATAAGAGAATAAGGGCAGCTTATACATCAAGCCAGGAGAATGAGATCTGTTCTGTGAACTAGTTACCAGCCTGTGCGAACCTGCCTTTTTTTAGGTGACGCAGGAAGCTGGAGAATTCATGATAACATTCCCCTATGGTTACCACGCTGGCTTTAATCATGGGTTTAACTGTGCTGAATCGACCAACTTTGCTACTCTTCGGTGGATTGAATATGGAAAGCAGTCTGTGTTAGTAAGTGGTCTACTCTCCCTTATTGCTTATGAGAAAAATCCGCGTGACGATGTGTTTAGCAGCTGATTCTTTGCGTGGTGTTCTAGAACAAACCATTGTTTCTACTTACTGTGTAGTGGTGGTTTTATAACCACAGGCAGCAAAGTCAGCTAGTGGTTAGGAGCCCAGTTAGACCATGGGCAGCGAATGACGGAATACAGGTGGGATCGTGTGAAGAGTTGAGAGTGTAATAGATTCAATGATAGCTGCTGGGTGAGGCTGAGGTGGCGCTGGGAGGTTGTACGTTAGGGTTTGGTGGGAGGTTCTTGTGCTGACTAAGTTATTTCACTTAGATGGAGCAGCCCAAGGGCTTCAGCCTAACATGGGAACCTGTGACCTGAGCCCCACTGCCGAGTGCTACAGTCCGTGGCCTTTGGCTTCAGCCCTGGATGATGGGCTCGGGCTTTGGCCCGGAGCCCCAGCAAGTTTCACGCTAGCCCTGGCACCGCAATACAGTGAGGCTGTAACCCACTTTGGAGCCCCGACCCACAGTCTGAGAATTGCTGCCCTAGCGGGACACAGCTGTATCAGAGGACACTAGAATTTGAAGGGACGTTAAGAGGTCATCGAGTCCAGTCCCCTGCCCTCAGTGCAAGGCCCAGCACCGTCTAGACAGTCTTCTTGTTTCCCTTGATGCCTGTAGCTAGTCTGAGCTCGTTTTGTACCTTTGCCTTTCTAATCTCGCCCCTGCATTCCCGTGTTGTTTGCCTATCTTCATCCTTTGTAAATTTGACCTAGTTTCCTCTTTTTATATGACTCCTTTTTGATTTAGAGATCATGTAAGATCTCCTGGTTAAGTCAAGACGGTCTTTTGCCATATTTTCCATCTTTCCTACGGACTGGAATAACTTGCTTTTGGGCCCTTAATAATGTCCCTTTGAACAACTGCCAACTCTCTTCGGGTTTTTTTCCTCTTAGTCTTGCTTCCCATGGGACCTTACCTACCAGCTCTATGAGCTCACCAAAATCTGCCTTCCTGAAATCCATTGTCTCTATTTTGCTCTGCTCCCTTCTGCCATTCCTTAGAATCATGAACTCTAGGATTTCATGATCACTTTCACCCAAGCTGCCTTCCGCTTTCAAATTCCACTTTCAGTTCCTCCCTATTTGTTAAAATCAAATCTAGAACAGCTTCCCCCCAGTAGCTTTTTCAACCTTCTGAAATAAAAAACAATCTTCAATGTAGTTCAAGAACGTATTGGATAGTCTGTGCCCCACTGTGTTAGTTTCCCAACATATGTCTGGATAGTTGAAAGTGCCTTTATACTAATGTCACTTATTCCACTTTCTTCCAGGGAATAGGCTCTGTTGGCATACACACGTACGCTTCTATAACTGGTTATTGCCCTGCGTCTGCTAGGGTAGTGAGAGTGGTCCAGCCTTTGTCTGTAGACAAGCCCACGAGCAACAGAATGCTGTTGGCTGGAGAACTCAACTGAAAAGTCTGTTTGGGAAGTGCTAGAGCCTGAAGGTCTCCTCTCCCCCTCCCCCCAACACTAAGACCTGCTTGAGTAACTCTGGGCAAAAGGGGGTCAACTTTTAGCTAATAAGCAGAGAATTTTTGGAACAGGAATTTCTGTGGATGGGGAGGAGTTCCAGGAACCTGCAGATTGGGTTGGTCCTCTTAACTGAATGGATAACTCCGGCGTTGGGCCGAGACTCTGGTGTGCTTTTTCTTCGCTTGTTCTCTCTCCTTGTTTCTGTCCTGTCATTTTTCTGACTTTCCTTGGACACGCTACTTAATCTTTGAGCTCACTGGTTCCCTGGTTGGTGTTTGTGGGCAGTCTTGACAAGGGAGGTCTGAGACAATTGAGTCTCAGCACTTGGAGATGTTGTGCATCAGTTGGGCTACAAAAGAACAGCGTAGTGTTGGGTTGAAAAATGACATGCTTGTATAATTGGCCGAGTGTCTTCTGTGCCACTGCAGTGCTCCTGTCGGAAGGACATGGTAAAGATCTCTATGGATGTTTTTGTGAGGAAGTACCAGCCAGATCGCTACAAGCTCTGGAAAGCTGGGAAAGACGTGGTTCCCATCGACCACACTCTTCCGACACCGGAGGCAGCAGAGTTCTTCAAGGGAGAGCTCCTCCAGAAAGTCAAGAACGGGAAGCCGAGCACTGAGGAGCCGGAGACTGGGGAGGCATGTCAAGAGGGTGTGGACGTGGATGAGAAGAAGAGGTACGTCCCATGGTGGTGAATGCGTCCCTGCTCAGCGACACACCAGTGCAGCCTGCTGCATTGGAATGTTTTACGTGGCCGTGGGACAGCACAAGCCGGGTTTGCTTTTCGCTTAATTGGTTAGGTCCAAGCAGCTACGTGTTTGGCAGGGGGAAGCGGCAGGGAACCGTATGCACCGCTAGCTTCACTCCACCATGGCTTGCCTGCGTGGGTCGGTGCTCTGCAAAGCCTGACGCTGGGGAGCCATGCTGCATGCCAGGGACCAGAACAAAGAAGCATTCTGTTGAGATTGTAGAACCATTTTCCACGGCCAAAGCCCAGCAGCGATAGTGGGTCATTCCTGTACGTTGTTGCTTAAGGAATAGTTTATTTGCTATTCAAGGCGAAGTTACCACTAAACATCTTTCACGCAGAGTGTCTAAGCCAGCAGCCTTGACTTTCACTTGCGGGGAGGCGAAGTCTCCGGACGTACTCTGGCATCTGTTAATCTGAGGGGCTGTGCGGCTGGTTTCGGATAGCCAGGACACTGCATGCTTTTGCCCAGTGCTGGCTCCTAGAATTCCTGGCATGGGGCATATGACCAAAAGGAGGCATTTCCTGAGGGAACTGACCTGCATTTGTATTCAGTGTGCTTAACCACTTGTGGTTTGCGTTCTGCAGTCTGCCCAAGCACCGCATAGGAGCCAAGAGGCACAGGGTCTGCCTGGAGGTGCCCCACGAGGTGAGTCAGAGCGAGGCCTTCCCTAAGGAGGAACTGAGCCCTGTGCAGTATGAGGTGGAAGTGGCAGCACCTCCCGTCAGACCGGCGAGCGAGCGTGTGCAGCAGGGCGAGGACGGACTCCCCGGTTCAGGTAAGCGCCGCTCACGGGCTCTGCTGTACGGGAGGGCGTTTGTGTTCGCCCATCCAGCAGTCAGAGGCGCTGGGGCTGAACCCTGCTCACCTCCTCCTAAGTAGAAAGCTGTTTGAGTTTGACACTGTCCCAAAGGCCTGTTTGAACCTCGGCAAGCGGGGTCTTTGGAGTATTCGCGAGAAGGAACCGCCTTTAGAAGGCTTCGCTTTCTGGCTCTCTGCTCCTTGGCCTATAGCACTGGTTCACGTGGAGACCACGGCTTGTCTACATGATTTTGTGTTCGCACCAGGCATGTAGGTGGCCCCTGTGGTTAAGGAGAAGAGGAGGGGGAGACCAATGGGAGCAGGGTGGAGGGAGGGGAAGAACATGCTGATAAATATCTTGTCATTCTTGGATGACTGAACGTTTCTTTGGAGCGTCCCACTCTGAGGGAAGAGGAAGCATCTGAGGTGTCTGTCAGAAAGCTGCCCCTCCTAGCTTCAGGACGTCTCTCGTCTTCCCACGTCCTCCTCTCCAGCTGCCCTGGCCCGAGAGAGGGAAAAGGGTCAGTCGCTCAGGAAAGCATGGGCCTCTCTCACTGGGAACCTGCCTGCTCAGCGAACCGCTCGATGGGATGTTTGAACAGTCAGATGCTTGTTTCCTGATTGTGCCTAGCCAGGAGCCTCCCGTCTAGTGGCTGTCTCCTCCGTCCCTCCGTGTGTCCACGCCACGGCGGTCTGAGGCGCCCTGGTTCAGCACTCTGTCTCTGTTCCAGATGAGGTGGATTCTTCAGAAGTCAAATTTGAAGAACTGAAACCTGTGAAGCTGGAGGAAGAGGAGGAAGACGAGCAAGAGGTGGCTGTGCTGGACCTTTCCGTTCCTCATTCTGTCAGTTCCACCTCAGCCCTCGCGGTGTCTATGCAGAACCCAGTGTTCAGCCTGCAGCCCAGCTCTCCCGCGTACTCTGCTTCTTCCGACTCCGAGTCCGCTGAACTGCTGCCCCGACGAACTCTTGGCCAGGCCGGGGTTCTTACCGTCCATAGCTATGCGAGAGGAGATGCCGCTGGGCCTGGCGGTGACCATGCTTCGGGGAAGAAAGCCAGTGTGAACGAGCAGGAGCTTGCGGAGGTATGCATGGCGGTTTGTAACGGGACATGTTCAGAACTGCATGCTGCTGAGGTGGGGCTGCTGGGTTTGTTGGATTGGAAGCGCCCTTCACTTATTGCTCTCAGGCTTTCTAGTCTGCTGGTGTCAGCAGAACAGCTTTCCTGGCTTGGTGGTTGCCCCGTCATTTAATTTGCCAGGGTTAGCTCCTGGCGGGTCCCTGCACCGCCGTGTTTACCTGCACCTCCACAGGTCTGGGGAACCCCAGCTCCCAATGGCCACGGATCACATTCCCGGCCGATGGGAGCTGCGATCGCTCAGACCTGCAGAGGTGAAGGTAAACATAGCGGCAGCGTCCCACCAGGGTGAACTGGCACTGTTTTATTGCCCATCCTGATCTAGACTACTGTCCCCTGACCTCGGATAACGCTACAAGGGACACTAGTAAAAACTCACGTTTTGAAATCCACATGTCAAATCTCTAGAAGTGAGTTCTTTCTGGCTTGCATGAGTGCAACAAGCATAATGCAAACTTGTTACATTTGTGTTACATTCACAGGAACAAATCCGAGATGCCCATATAGAGTGTAAGTTAGCTGTCACCGCTCTTGGAGAGGTCTCGGAGTCACTGTGGAGAGTTCTCTGCAAACATCCATTCAATGTGCAGCAGCAGTCAAAACAGAAAACACAATGTCAGGAGTCTTTTAAAAACAGGCTCCATCAGTTGGCTCCAATACTTCTATGGCCAAGATCACTTTCTGAATTTGAGGGCACCCAATATCTACTGTGCCCCTTCCCTGAGGCCTTGCCCGCTTCACTCCATCCCCCTCCTCTCCCTCACTCACTTTCACGGGGCTGGCGCAAGGGCTGGGGGTTCAGGAGGGGGTTCGGGTTAGGGAATGTGCTTGAGTTTGAAAATAAGACCCAGAATATCTTCCTGCCCCTGTATAAAACTGTGGTACGCCCACATCTTGAATACTGTGTACAGATGTGGTCTCCTCACCTCAAAAAAGATATTTTGGCCTTGGAAAGGGTTCAGAAAAGGGCAACTAAAATGATTAGGGGTTTGGAACGGGTCCCATATGAGGAGAGGTTAAAGCGACTGGGACTTTTCAGTTTAGAAAAAAGGAGACTGAGGGGGGATATGATAGAGGTCTATAAAATCATGAGTGGTGTGGAGAGGGCCGATAAAGAAAAGTTATTTATTAGTTCCCATAATAGAAGAACTAGAGGACACCAAATGAAATTAATGGGTATCAAGTTTAAAACGAATAAAAGAAAGTTCTTCTTCACACAGCGTGTAGTCAACCTGTGGAGCTCCTTGCCAGAGGAGGCTGTGAAGGCTAGGACTATAATAGAGTTTAAAGAGACGCTAGATAATTTCATGGAGGTTAGGTCCATAAAAGACTATTAGCCAGGGGATAAAATGGTGTCCTTGGCCTCTGGTTGTCAGAGGCTGGAGAGGGATGGCAGGAGACAAATCGCTTGGTCATTGTCTTCGGTCCACCCTCTCTGGGGTCCCTGGTGCTGGCCACTGTCGGCAGACAGGATACTGGGCTAGATGGGCCTTTGGTCTGACCCAGTACGGCCGTTCTTATGTTCTTACGGTGTAAATAACCAGTTAACTGGTTGAACTACTAAAATTATACTGGGGCCGGGGTCTCACCGGCCTGCCTGGCCTGAGTCAGAGCGACTGGGGCACTGCCCTCCTGTCCTATGTGGCAGGCCCCAGAGTCCCGCTGGCCAAGTGGGGGCAGCCATGGCGGGAGTCCCGCTTTTCCTGTTATCCCCACATGGCCGACTGGACTCAGCCAGGGCTGCTCCAGCCTGCCGTGATTGGCCATCCAGCCAGTTCTTGGTAAGTTTCATGCTTACCAGGTAGCCAATTAATCTTTTACCTCCCTAGTATGGGGTGCTGGCTCTGGGAGAGAGGTCAGGGCGGGGGCTTGGGGTGCAGCAGAGGATGTTCTAACTGAGATGCCTATCTCCTAGAACTGGAAGGGGCCTTGAGGTCATCAAGTCCAGTCCCCTGCCTTCACAGCAGCACCAAGGACCATCCCTGACAGATTTGCCCTGGATCCCTAAATGGCTCCTCAAGGATTGAACTCCCAACCCTGGGTTTAGCAGGCCAATGCTCAAACCACTGAGCGATCCCTATGGAGGGGGCAGAGAGGTTGGCATGCGGCCTCCTGCTGGGCAGCACTTAACAGTGCAGCAAAGCTGAGGCAGGGTCCCTGCCCCTCCTGGTCCCAAAGGGACTGACTCATCTGTGGCCCAGGGACAGCCCGGCTCTGCGATCAGTGTGGGTGAGCCTCGCAAGTAGACGGTCCAAACGGTGACACGTGTATCTCACGTCTGTCAGTTGCCGTGTTTACAAAATTGAAATGAGGACCCAGATCGGGTAGAATGACTGCAGAGAAATGTGAACAGCTAGGAATTGCTTAAAAGGATTTTACTAGCTGGCCCGAAAAGCCACAGCCAAGGAGCAGACTTGTTTGCTGTATTAAGTCAAGAAACCAAACAAAAATATACAGTGCTGCCTAGAGGGGAAGGTATCGATAGAAATAAATACCTGGGTTGGTTGCCTTTTTCCATGAGCATAGACTCGATCGGTGGCTCCCAGCCTTTTCCAGGATACGGACCCCTTTTGAATCTATTACAATTGTATGGACCCCCGGCCCCCAAACAATAGCGCTGTTCCTGCAGCCTGCATGTCCCTCAGCCAGGATGGCGTCCCTCAGCGTGGGTTGAAGGACGTGCTGGCTGCAAGAGGCTCCGTGCGGACCCCCCCCTTCGGGGTCACAGAGCACAAGCTGGGAACCACCGAACCAGAACCTGGGAACTGTAGAAAATTGATCATGATGGAGATGTCAATGGCCACTCGAATGAAGGCAATAAGAATGAATTTTTAGGTATATTGGGAACAAAAAGGAACCATGTGACTGTATTGGCCCGTTCCTAGTTGGGAAGGGCAGAATCGCCGACAGTGCTAAGTGTCCATTTAAACATGTCTGTCCTGTGTTTGGGGTGGAGCGGGGGAGTCACGTGTGTGTGCACCAGGATGAAACACTTTTCATTCCAGCAGTAACTTGAGAGGATGTTCAATTGCAGCTACTAAAGGTAGAAATCTTTAAATCAGCAGGGCCGGATAACTTACTCCTGAGTTTATTAAAAGAGCCGGCCAAGGAGCTCTCTGGACCATTAATGCTGATTTGTTCAGTAACCCTTGGAACGCTTGGGAAGTTCCAGAGGACTGAAGGAAAACTAGGTAAATGGCTGACCCTGGTAATTACTAGCCTATCAGTCTGGTCATAAGCATGGGATTGCTGATTCAGGACTTGCCTGTACAGAGTTCAAGGCGGGGCATAGTGCCAGCTAACAGGACTTGATGGAAAACAGTGTGGCATGACTGATTTTGTTTCGCACAGAGAGCGCTAGGGTGATAGAGGTAAGTGTGTGGCTGTGATGTGGGTAGGGCTCTGTGAGGCATTTGGTTTGGTGTCATGGACCAGTTTGCATAGAACAACACAAACTCAGCATGACTCACGCTAGAGTGAGAGCCAGTGAACTGATCAGTCTCGATGGAATTGTGAGTGGGGAATCATTAAGCAGTTGTGGGGCTCTGTGTGGATCATTTCTTTGCCCTGTGCTGGTTGGTCCTTTTAGCAGTGGACTGGAAGAAAATCTGCACTCACATGCAAAGCTGCATTTATAATTACCCACCCGTTATGCGAGTGATAAATAATAGGACAGGGCGTGGCTCCAGAGCTATGGGTTTTCTCTTCAGCGGGGTGCAGGCAAACAATCCACGGCTGAGCTCATACCTGCAGGATCGCAGACTCTGTTCTGGGACGCAGTGACTCTTGGAAGGGCTGAGTTCCCTGTAATGATGCTGTGGCTGAAAGGGCCAGTCCAGCCCATGGATGTATAGAAGTGGAATCGGGAGCAGAAATACCGGTGGAACCTGCCCGGTGCCGAACCAGAGAACGTGCTGGACCACGGGTGGTCAGTATTGTCTGGCAGCATGACCGACGCTGCCCCTGCTGGCTGGGCTCTGGGAAGACATGAGGGGAAATTAGAGCTGAATCACAGCGCAGAACACAGAGCCAGGCCTGGGGGCTGTAAACAAACTTTATGGGATCACGGGAAACTTGGCCACCCCCCTGCTAATGTGAGCATTCGGCTAACTAACATTGTGCTGGGCTAGAGAGGTTTGACCTGTAGCTGCATTGCCTCTGTGCGTGGCCTAGGTGTGACTCCACTGGAATGCTGTGTCCCGTTCTGGTGGCCCCAGTTCACAGACGGCCCTGCTAGACTCGAGACGGCTCACAGAAGAGCTGTGCGAGCGATTAAAGGCTGGAACCGTGCTTTATGGTGAAAAGGCCAGGGAGCTCGGTCTCTTCAGTCGAAACGAGACCGTTACGGTGTGACTCCATCAGTACAGATTTCCCTGGGGGGGTGCCTGACGTTTGATGGTAGAGGGCTCTTCAGTCGCTCAGAGAAAGTTGGAAGAAAATCCAGCAACTGGAAGCCAAAGCCTACCCCATTCAGCTCCCGGCCTACGCCCCAGCGGGGATCTCACCACAAGGCGTCTCAGCCAGTCCTGCCCACCGGAGCAGCTGCCTGCTGCGCTGCTCTCCGGAGGAGGTGGGCAGGGGAGAATTTTTTGTGCGCACCTTGGTGGGGACACAGGTTACAGTACCTGGGTTTCTGATTCTTTGGCAAGCATAAATCCAAAGTTTAATGGACATTACAGAACTGTTTCAGTTGGTGTTGTGTCTTAAAAACACGCGCTCTGTTTAAACTTGTTTTGGGCCAGACTATCTGGCTGGCTGTAACATGGTGGTTGCTGAGTTGCAGCTTTGTCTTGTCCAGGTGGCGAAGGAGTACATGAGGTCAGTGAAAGAGAGTAAAAAGTCAAAGGGTCGGCGCCAGCCCTTGAGCAAACTTCCTCGTCATCATCCTCTGGTGGTTAAAGACTACATCAGTGATGATGGTAAGTACTAAATACCAGCCCGGTGGGGGGGTAGGGAGAAGGCTCCAGTTCCAGGAGGCATCTGGGCATGTGACTTCTGGTGCGAGCTCTTACTTGGTTCTGCAGGGCCCGCCCTCGCCACCGGAGTCCTTTCCCCTCCGGGGCTGGCTCTTTCCCACGGCTTTCTCGGAATCAGAATGGCTTTTCCAGTCACAGATGGTCACAACTCGGCACACCCGACAAATTCTGTCAGCCTCTCAACTTTGTTTCTGTAATCTCCTTTCCCAGGCATCCCTGAAATCTCCTGCAGCCATTCCCGACTGACCAACTAGTGCGTCTGCTTTGGCTCTGGTTTGGGGCTTGGAGCGGTGTGAAGGGGTCACGGCGCTGCAGGTGCCCCTCCTCGTGACTGGGTCTTGCACCGTGAGCGCCCCTCCCTCTGGGACTGTGCTGCCTATTTGGGGTTGCTGTGCAGTGTGCCCTGCCTTCGGGGGAGAGAACCCCTCTAGGCAAGCTGTCCACACACCGTCGTAGTCGTCCTTCCCATGCCTACACGGGGCTGGCAGGGGGACCTCGGCCCGTCCTGTACACTGGGTTCCAGCCCAGGGACCCTGTAACTGGCAGCCGCAGGCTGTGCGGCCCAGCCCCTTGCTGCTGTTTTCCCCCGCCCGCTCCTGGCCGACCTCAGGCTTGCCACTGGAGAGTCCTCTGCTCCCTGTGCTTACGGCCCTATTTTGCCACTTGCTTGACTCGCCATCTAGGGCAGGAACCCGGGTTTACTGCCTCCCTGGATCTCTGTTTTGGCCCTAGCAAGCTCCCTTTCCCTTCCGAGAGCCTCTGCAGTCTCTTGCTGTCCCAGCTCCTTCACTCGGATGAGCCTCTTTTGCCACAGCCCGGGACTGGCAGGAATCTCCACCTGCAGCATCGAAGGTTAATTGGTCCCTTCTAGCCTCTCGCCGAGCTTGTGTGGGGTGCCCTCCCCCCCATTGTAAGCAGGAACAGCATCCTGCATGCCTCCACGTCTCACTTGGATGTATCTTTCTGCCTCGTGTTCCCCTCTGCTCAATTCACCGGTGAGAAACAAACCGTTCCTCACCCTTCCCGCTGTCAGACTGGAGCCCCTCTCTCTACCCTCTCTTATCCTAATCGCACCGTGCAGCGCAGGGACAGAGCAGGGCCTGTTGTTAACACTAACAAAACCGCTTCTTGTTTTAGAGATGTCGGAGCAACTAACCCCTGAAGAAGAGGCGGAGGAGACCGAGGCTTGGGCCAAACCACTTAGCCAGCTGTGGCAGAATCGTCCTCCGAACTTTGAGGCAGAAAAAGAATATAACGAAAGCATGGCTCAGCAGCCCCCTTACTGTGCGGTGTGCATGCTCTTCCAGACGTACCAGGTAAGCTCCTGGCTCTCGGCAGCCACGCTCCTCCGGATTCTGTACACTCGTAGGCTGTGAACTTACTCCCTCCTCTCAAAACCATGTTTCAGTCCGTTGCTAAAAACGGCCTGCAGGCCGACCTGGTCTAGTAGCCAATATTGCTGTCCCCTTTCCCACCTCGGGGTGCAGCAGACTTCCTTTCACAGCTGCATATTCTTGTGAAACTTCCCTCCTTAGCTCTGGCTGAGTTCCAGCTGGTTAAATTCCCATCAGAGTTCTGTGCATAGCACCTTGTTCATAGCACACTAGAACCGGAAGGGACCTTGAGAGGTCATCGAGTCAGTCCCCTGCCCACAGGACCCAGCACCATCTAGTTCCCAGATTCTTTCTTGAAAGCTACGTTTAAGAGACTCCTCTTCTTCCTGCTTCCTGATGGCTAGGGCAGGGAGGCCTAGTGCACCTGAAAGCTGTCTAAGCACAGGAACAGAAGCTTTCTTCTCTTAGACACGTAGAGTGGGAGAGGAGAGATGGGCTAAACCTACACTGGGGTTTGGGACCGCCGTGGCTGTGTTAGATCTAGAAACTAAAACGTTCGCTTTTGCGTTGGGCGGGGTAATGAGAGTCAGGCAGGTCTCTAGTGAGGGTGGTTGCTCGGAGTCGGGACAAGCATATGAAGGGCTCCTTCAGGAGGTTAAATTGTAAAGGCAAGAATAAACTGCCTCTGCCCACGAGTCTTTGCAGAGCTCTGCCATGGAGCTGGTTCCCTTGGCGTTGGGTGCAAGAAGACTGTTCATGTCTGCCCCTTGCACGCCTTTGATGAGAACTGTAGACGACAGCGTGAGGGGCTTGGTCAGTGGGGAGGTAGAAGGGAACTACAGACTAGTCAGCGTAACTTCTGTGGCAAGGAAGATAAATTCCTTAATGACTTGCTCCATTATCTGCAAATACCTGGAAGATAATAGAGTGACGGTAACATCCTGAGAGCTTTCTTTGATAGGATAACGAGTCTTGTGGAGAAGGGAGAAGCGGTGGACGTGGGATACCTAGACTTTAGTAAGGAATTTGTTATGGTTTTGCACAATCTTCTTATTAATAAACTCGGCAAATACAACTTAGATGGGGCTACTATAAGGTGGATGCATAACTGGCTGGATAACCGTTCTCAGAGAGGAGTTATTAACAGTTCACAACCCTGCTGGAAGGGCATAACTAGTGGGGTTCCACAGGGGTCTGTTTTGCTACCGGTTCTGTTCAATATCTTTATCAATGATTTAGATGATGACAGAGAGTATACACTTATTAAGTTTGCAGATGATCCCAAGCTGGGAGGGGTTGCAAGTGCTTTGGAGGATCGGTCAGAATTCAAAATGACCTGGACAAACTGGAGAAATGGTCTGAGATAAACAGGATGAAGTTTAATAAGGACAAATGCAAAGTGCTCCACTTAGGAAGGAACAGTCAGTTTCACACATACAGAATGGGAAGCGACTGTCTAGGAAGGAGTCCGCAGAAAGGGATCTAGGGGTCAGAGTGGACCACAAGCTAAATACGAGTCAACAGTGTGACACTGTTACAAAAAAAGCAAACACGACTCTGGGCTGCATGAACAGGAGTGTTGTGAGCAAGACACGAAAAGTCATTCTTCCGCTCTGCTCTGCGCTGATTAGACCTCAGTTGGAGTACTGTGTCCAGTTCTGGGCGCCATGTTTCAAGAAAAACATGGAGAAATTAGAGAGGGTCCAGAGAAGAGCAACAAGAATGATGAAAGGTCTAGAGAACATGAGCTATGAGGGAAGACTGAAAGAACTCGGCTTGTTTAGTTTAGAAAAGAGAAGACTGAGAGGGGACATGAGAGCTGTTTCCAGGTACTTAAAAGGGTGTCACGAGGAGGAGGGAGAAAAATTATTCTGCTTACCCTCTGGTGATAGAAGGCACAATGGGCTTAGACTGCAGCAAGGGAGGTTTAGGTTGGACATTAAGAAAAACTTCCTGCCTGTCAGGGTGGTGAAACACTGGAATAAATTGCCCAGGGAGGCTATGGAATCTCCATCCCTGGAGACATCTCAGAGCAGGTTAGACAGACACCTGTCAGGGATGATCTATTCTAGATGGTGTTGGGCAGGGGGCTGGACTATCGGGGTCCCTTCCAGTCCTAGTGTTATGTGATTCTATAGTAACACTGCAGTATTCTGTGGCCCTGCATGTGTGAAAGTCTAGGTGTTGGAAGGGGCCGCCACAGATACTCTTCTGGGGTCGGCGTAGGCCTCGTAATTCCAGGCGATAGACACGGCTGCAGGTATCTCCTGCTGCTTGCCGCCAAACGGTGGGTGTCAGACCTCTTCAGTCGAGCTCCTAGTCCAGTGGAGTAGGACTGCCTCTGGGCGTGCTGCGGGGCACTGGGGGAGGCTGGAACGCCAGCGGGAAGGGGAATGAATTCTGCTTCTTCCAACAAATGTGACTTAAGTTCCTCAGAAGCTTGAAATCCCAGGTGACCTCGCTTTAGAAAGCCTGCAACGGCAGCCCCAGTCGTCCCAGGCCGGGCAGCCGAACTGCAGTTGCAGGCCGAGTGGGGAGGCACGATTTCCCTTCAGAGACCATCGCTGCATCTTTTCCAAGAACTCGCGCTCGTCCCTGCGTCTGACGGTCTACTGGGGCTGGTCTGCGCTATTGTTTCGACCAAGCTGTTCGAGTCCTCTGAGGGGCCCACAAACGAGGTGGATAGAGTGGGAACTTAAACTTCCAGAAAGCCTTTGACAAGACCCTCCCCAAAGGCTCTTAAACAAAGTAAATAGTCATGGGATAAGAGGGAGGGCGCTTCTGTGGATCCGTAACTGGTTCAAAGATGCGAAACACAGGGTAGGACCAAGCGGACTGGAGAGGGGCACATCATGGAGTCCTGGGGCCCAGCCTAGTCTGCGTGTTCTTAAATAGTTTGGAAGTGGGAGGAGTGAGATGGCAACATCTGGGGCAGCAGAGTGGCCAATGAAATTCAGCGTTGAGTCATGCACGTTGGAAGCCGTCACCCCAGCGGTACCTGCAGAATGAGGGGATCTGCACTGGCTGATCTTGGCGCCTTTGTGGATCCTTCTCTCAACACAGCCACTCCGTGTGCAGCAGCAGTCAGATTCCAACCCTGTGAGACTCCGTTAGGGAGGGGATGAGACAAAAAATATAATGCCCCTCTTTCGACAGTTGCTCACATCTGGAGTGCGTGGATCTGGTCCTCACATCTCAAAAGATACAGAGAAGGGCAACTGAAGTGATTCCTGGTACGGAAGAGCTGAGAAGAGGTTAACGAGACTGAGACGTCTCAGCTTGGAAAAGAGACGGGGGGATACGATAGATTCTGTAACAGCTCGGCTGGTGTAGAGACCGTGAAGAAGGAAATGTCACTTACTCATTCTCCTGACAAAGGCAGGAGTCACCTTGGGAAATTCATAGGCAGCAAGTTTAAAAGAAAAGTGTTTCACACAAAGCGCAGTCGGCCTGGGGAGCTTTGCTGGGATGTGGTGAAAGCCTTGGCCCAACCAGTTCGAAGGAGAGCTAGATCGGTGCCTGGAGGACAGGCCCGTCAGTGGCTGATGGGCAGGGAAGATGCTTCTAGCCTCTGTTGGCCAGAAGCCAGGTCTGGGTGGTGGCGTGTTGATGGCTGGATAATTACCTGGTTCGCTCTGCAGCTCCTGGCATTGGCCGCTGTCGGCAGCAGGCCATGGGCTGACCCCGTGAGGCCATGCTGACGGTCTCATACCTTGTGCTTCTCTTTAATGAGGGCTTGCTGGTGTGTAGCAGTTCTCCTTGGCTGGGCCGTCCTTCTCTTGAAGCTGGTGGTAAGAGCAGTGTGAGGGGGAACTCGAGGTGTTCAGTATTCTCGATAACATACACCCCCCTCGCTTTCGCAGGCAGAATGCGGAGGCCATGGTCAGAGCGCTGCAGTTGCTCCGAGTGCTGCCACCAGGAAGGTCCGAACCAAACCTCTGATTCCTGAGATGTGCTTCACTGCGACCGGCTGCAGTACAGACCTCAACCTCTCAACCCCTTACCTGGAGGAAGATGGAACCAGCGTTCTCATCACCTGCAAAACCTGCAGCGTCTGTGTCCATGCAAGTGAGTACAGCCGGCCCCAGGCTTGCACTGCTACGCTCTGCTGTCTGGTCTTGTGCGCTGCAGCCGTTCCGCCTGCCAGCCAGTCGCTGCCCTAGCGAACTCTGGGCATTCCTCAGGTGGCTCCCGGAGCCCTGCCACGCAGGCCTCTGAATGGGGGACGGGCCACGTGTGGAGCCCGAGCGCTGTAACCTTCCCTCGAGAGAGGCTAAGCTACATCTGTGGTGTTTGCCTAAGCAGCTTGCCTCCTGTGTAGGCTGTTACGGTGTGTCCCCGGAGAAGGCCACTGAGGCCCTAGCGAACTCTGGGCATTCCTCAGGTGGCTCCCGGAGCCCTGCCACGCAGGCCTCTGAATGGGGGACGGGCCACGTGTGGAGCCCGAGCGCTGTAACCTTCCCTCGAGAGAGGCTAAGCTACATCTGTGGTGTTTGCCTAAGCAGCTTGCCTCCTGTGTAGGCTGTTACGGTGTGTCCCCGGAGAAGGCCACTGAGGATTGGACGTGCTCCAGGTGTACAGCCAATGCTTTAGAAGAGGTAAGCCAGTTGCTTGTGCAGCGCTCACCTCGCTGTCTCTGGGGGCTCCGGAGCCCTGTCGGCCGGGTCCCGAGCGGCGGTGCGCCCATGGGGGGCCGGAGAGCAAGGTCGATGAAGACTAGTCGCACAGCTCTCGCTAAGCTGCCCTTGTGCGGGCCGATAAGGCTGTCATCTGCGGGGCCCCTCCAGATTATCATTCTCTGCCGTGTGCCCCCGGCAGTGGTTCAGGCTCTCGGGGGGCCAGCAATGGAGAGGCACCGTTCTCTGACCTCGCCTGCCTCCCTACAGCACGCAGCTTGGTTGGTGCGGGGCTGAACTCCCACTCCGCGAGGAGCGAGGGGGGCAGAGCAGAGGGGGTCTTTCTGAAAGCACCATGGGCTCTGGCCCAGCCCCCTCCCTGGCTTCGGCTGCACCTATCTGGGGCAGGGGTTCGCTCTCCGCTGTGAGCACGTCATGTTGGCTCCCGCAGGGCGTTTCCCACCCGCCGGGAGTTTCCTCTCCCTCTGTGGGTATCTAGGGAACTAGGAAGTGGCTCCACTTCTCCAAAGCAGGGGACATGGATTGTACCCGGGGTTACTTGGCAACCAAGAGCTGTTCCTTTGAACGGGTGGTCTCACAGGCAGGCTCCGGTGCAAGCGGACTGTTCGTTGACAGTCTGGTAACGGGGTTCCTCGTTTCCTTCCTGGTGGCAGGACTGCTGCCTGTGTTCGTTGCGAGGCGGCGCGCTGCAGAGAGCCAATGATGACAAGTGAGTATTCCAGCTTGACCGTGCTCGTAGGGCTGCTCAAGCGCAGTCCCTGTGTGTGTGGTGCAGGGCTGAGGTCGTGACCGAGGGCATCTCCCAGATGGAGCCGCAGGTTGGTGCGGGAGGCTGTGAACACACAGAATGTAGTTCAGGATTTGACCCTCGTTGCGAGGCGGCGCGCTGCAGAGAGCCAATGATGACAAGTGAGTATTCCAGCTTGACCGTGCTCGTAGGGCTGCTCAAGCGCAGTCCCTGTGTGTGTGGTGCAGGGCTGAGGTCGTGACCGAGGGCATCTCCCAGATGGAGCCGCAGGTTGGTGCGGGAGGCTGTGAACACACAGAATGTAGTTCAGGATTTGACCCTGGTGCCGGGGAGGGGTGCGGGGTAACAGGGCAGGAGGAGGGGTGCGGGGGAACAGAGCCCTACAGCCATTCGCTGACTTCCAGCGAGTGCCCCATCCCAAGGTGCTGAGAGCTACGAACTGTTCAGCCTCTTGGGAGGGGCCGGGAACTTTGAATACCAGGGTAAAGAGAGATCACGCCCCCTGCAGCCACCAAAGGCCCCCCTGCCGGCCAGCTTCTACACCTGCACTGCCACTGTCTTCCACGCGGGGCTCAGCTGGAGGCAGCTGCATCCCAGGACAGCCACAAGGGGGGGCCTTTCTGCAGTGCTGCATGTTCTGGGTCCAGGCTGGCCTCGGGCGGCGGCAGCCTGCGAGCAGTGGGTCTGGAAAAGGCTGCAGATGAGTTTGGCTGGCATGTCTAATGTTCCTGAATGCCGAATACGCTGGTCTCTGGTGCCTGAATCTCAGCTTGCAGCGCGAAGGGGCAGGCTGTGGAACTCTGGGCAGGTCTTACGGAGTCTTGGACCTGTAGGCCAGCAGCTGCTCGATAGTTACTGTCTGACGGGCCTGTGGCCGGAGGGAAGGGCACAGACGCCACGAGGACCAGTCACGCTCAGTCGCTCCCTGTTGACCTCGGTGGAAAGGCCAAGGACTGAATGGGACGAAGTCTGCTTTTGCTCCTAGATTGTCGGGGCTAGCGCGAGGGAGGCTTGCGGTACATGAGCTCACTCCACTGCATGGATCTCTTCATGCCTAGGGCTGGGGGCTCGGTTGGCAGTCTGCATCCCTAAGTCCCCAGCCGTTTTCTCCAGTGCACTGACTGTCCCTCTCCCGTCCGGGCAGGTGGGTCCATGTGATGTGTGCGGTAGCTGTACTGGAAGCAAAGTTTGTGAACATTGCAGAGCGCAGTCCAGTGGATGTTGGCAAAATCCCCCTGCAGCGCTTCCGACTGGTAAGCAACAGCTGGGCTTCCCTTACGCTTGGGGTTTCACTCAAGTCCTCGCTAAGGTCTGCTCTCCTGAAGGCGACAGCGTCCCTTTGTTAATCAGAGTCCGACTCTGGTGGGTTGCTAAATGAACCCAGTTAGGATACTCCCTGCGCTCCAAAACCTAGCTGGGTATCAACACAGAGCATGATAATTATCTAAGGTTAGAATTAAAAGGGGGTCCGTAGAGAGCAGAGGTGGGAAATGGCAGGGCCCCTGGCTTGCCTGGATCCAGCCCCCAAGACTCATGGGAGCCCCCCAGCATTGGGGAGCTGGGGCTGGTGCACACAATCTACTCAGCTGGGCCCCCCCAGGCTCTGGTGTGTGAGGGGAATGTGGGGAGGGTCTTTCTCCTCAGTCAGTGGCCGCCTCAGTGCGGGGTTGGTTTTGGTTTTTCTTCTCACTTGTGTGCTGCCCCGGCGGTTTCCCCTGTGACTCCGCTAACGAGTGCCCCTGGAGGTGTGTGTGGCCCCATTCCGGATGGCTGCGTTGTCCATTAACCCTTAGGCGCAACTGCCCGGTTTGGCCAGTGCATGTGGCAGCGGGGCCTTGCTGGCACTCGATGGCGTAGATCACATTAGAGGATGTGCAGCTGTACGAGGCTCCCCTACAGACATTTCAGTTCCCATGCTGGGCCCGTCAGCTGCTCGCTGGATTGGTACATTATAGACACGCTCCCGCCAGTGGCCCTGTGCGAAACACGAGGCAAGCCCTTGGTCTCCAGTGTGGGTTGGCCTGGGGCCGAGGCGGGACTGAGAGTAACTGCGGTGCTGTTGTAGAGTAGCTACGGTCACACCCGGGAGCCTGCCGGCCTCCGTCCTGAGCAGTAATCTCCAGCCCCTGTCTGCAGAAATGCGTCTTCTGCAAGAAGCGGAGGAAGAGAATCGCAGGCTGCTGCGTGCAGTGCTCGCATGGCCGCTGCCCCACATCCTTCCACGTCAGCTGTGCTCAGGCGGCCGGAGTCATGATGCAGCCCGACGACTGGCCGTTCGTCGTCTTCATTACCTGCTTTAGGCACAAGATCCCATCCCAGGCCGAGGTGGGTTTCTGGGGCGCAGCCTGGGTGCCGAGTGCGAGTGCAAGGGCAGGGCTTGTGGCTGGGCGAGAGGGGGACATGGGTGAGGAAATGGCTCTGACAGACCCATGCGCATTTTAGCCAGCATGGTCTAGTGGCCGTGGCTCCACACCAAGAACCGAGCCCTGGTCTCAGCCCTGCTGCGGACTGCACGTGGCTTCGGCTAGCCGCTCGGCCCTGCGTTGGCTTTGTCTATAAAGCGACTGGCTGACGGAGAGCCACCCCCCAGAGCTGCCACACAAAGGAGCGGCTAACGCGTGTGCGTGATGCGCAGAGCTCGTGCTGGGTCTCCATGGAATATCCTGCTCTGTTGATCAGCCGGGGGGATGTTTCCATGCGGCCCTTCCTTCTGCTTGCGATGGCCCAACTAACGGCTTCATTCCACAGGCTGCACAGTCCTCAGCTTGTCCTGAGCAGCCTACGCCAAAGAGCGGGAGTTTCACTCCCCTGCTCCGGGCTGTCTTGGTCGCTGCCGGGTCTGGGTTTTAAGCACTGAAGGGAGTTGGGAGAAGACTCTTCCAGACGCCAGATCCCTGGTGGAGCCTGTGTGCCATTAAGAACTCTTGGCAACCGTGTAGTTGAGTCCTTTCATCCGCCATCCCCATGGTCAGTGCCAGGCCATGGACCTTTGTTTCACTAACGGCTCTTCTCTCCTCAGCGAGCCAAAGCCGCTCTGCAGGACCTGTCGGCTGGGCAGATGGTCATCAGCAAGCACAAGAATGGCCGTTTCTATCAGTGCGAAGTCGTCAGCCTTACAAAGGAAACCTTCTATGAAGTCAACTTTGATGATGGCTCCTTCAGCGACAACCTGTATCCAGAGGACATTGTGGTATGTGGTGTAACAGGGGCGCTGCTCCACTAGAGGGCGTGGGGCAGGAAGCGCATCGCCCTTGTGGGGTGGGGGTATGGACAGTTTGGCCAGGCCGTTTCTATCAGTGCGAAGTCGTCAGCCTTACAAAGGAAACCTTCTATGAAGTCAACTTTGATGATGGCTCCTTCAGCGACAACCTGTATCCAGAGGACATTGTGGTATGTGGTGTAACAGGGGCGCTGCTCCACTAGAGGGCGTGGGGCAGGAAGCGCATCGCCCTTGTGGGGTGGGGGTATGGACAGTTTGGCCATGGGATGGGCTGCCAGCTGAGTGGAGAGTTTCTTCCGGCTGAGACC